ATCTGCACCATCTGATTCCATATCAAGCAAATTAATTGCGTCTGCTGAAGGTTGTGTTGCTCTTGTGTCAGGTTTTTTGATCCAATCTTTAACAAGTGTTAAAAAAACAACTTCATCTTCTGCAACATAGCTCTGCAATGAAGAGAATTGACCATTGTTGGCTCTGACATGTTCTCTTGTTGGTGAAGAGGTAGAAGGTTGAATATCTGTTGCTTGAATTGAGGATGGAACCCCTTCTATATTAGAAACTTCTACATTGGAATTCTTCTTTCTTTTTGGCTTCTCTTTTTTCTTTAATTCTATTAGACTCTTTCTTTTAAAAGAACTCCACAGATTGCTGAATATCTTACTGACATAACAATAGCTCTAATTAATTGTTGGAAAATAATTAATAAATAATTTAAGGATAAACTTCACTTACAATACTTTGCACGTATTTATATGTATCCGTTGACAATCCATTAACATGTTTTCTGAACAATGTTTCACCAAAAGTTAATTGCAGACAATCTTTACATGAACTCATGGCAGTATCATTTTGGGGAATCCCTTTTCGCTTACAGTAAATTCGAATACATTGCATAACTTCTCTTTTTAGTCTATATAAAATCAAATAAATAACTAACAATTTGCTTACTTACGCTCGTTGAGTATCCTTCCATCCCACTGCAGCCTTGGGATAACAGTCAGCCAACTTTTCATATGTGGCTTCTGGTAAACATGTTATGGTTAATTTAGTCTTCTTCTTTGTTATTAGAATAATTTATGTTGAATAAATGGTGCTAAACTACTTACTTTTACTGATGGTGATGATGCTGAAATGATGTAAAATTGGCAGTTGATGGAAAAGTTACAAGGTTGATGTTGAATTACTTACCTGGCATTTATTGTGTTTTTTATTGTGTTTTTTTTGATTCGAATTTTCAGTCGAAAGCCAGTTTTTAGACGAAAAAAAATGTCTTTACAAAATAACAAGGAACAAGGTATCTATTTGAAAGACGCTGG